TAGCCGCTACTAGCAATACACACCAAAATGTCGAGTTGTACTGTGGCACTAGGTTTTGACAAGGATGAACCAATTTTTATCCTTTTCTTTTAACTGATCATTGTGGGGACAACAATGTTATAGGAGTGCAATGCTAAATCAAAGTACTATTTTAGGTCATTGCCAATCATTTAAGTTGAAATTAAAATTCCTGCTTTTGCTTTTTGAAAATTGCACACTTTCAAATCGCAATTTAAACATAAAACTGATTGTTTTCAGACCTGGAAAATTGCAAAAAGCAGCAGGATTTGTCTAGAAACAAGATACAATTACGATCATGTTTGGTACAGATGTAACTTTACATAAAAAATACAAATATTGGTCGGTTTCTGTCATATCTGCTGCAACTAAAGACTAACATTCATCGAAAATAATTTTACATTTGAACATTTTCGACACCTGAGATGTGGTAAATGAATGTCTCAATAAATGCTTTTAGATCGTGATGCGGAACCTGACCACAGAGGATGTGTATCTGTTTACCTATGAGAACTGGCTCTCAAAGACAAAAGGGCCAAAGAGGACGAAGGTGTGCGAGCTGGCAGCTGTGGTGGATGACGAGGAAATGGTGGATAAAACAACCTACATCATCCAAGTCCAGACCAGTGATGTCGGAGGTGGGTCACATGATTTCTAGTAATATCCTCAACTATCAAAGGATATACTCGTGTATATCATATCTCACATATCTATGTGTGGTTGTTGTCAAATAATTATGGAAAAAATGTCAGCTGGTAATACCACATTAATGAATCTTGACTTGATTTATTTCTTCAAATAATGGGAGTCGAGTCTGAATCAAGTGTTTCTCCCATTTTTACTGCTTGTGACCCCTTAAAATGAACTAATGTCTAGTAGTTTAAATACTTTTCAGAGGTAAAAATATTATGTACTTCAAAAAAATAAGTCTCATCAAACAATTTTGATGTTGCATGTTTTTTCTGCTTTTCTATCCCATTAAAAAGTTCTTGACCCCTCAGATTTGTCCTGTGACCCCTTTAGTTGGTCCTGAGCCCCAAGTGTGAACCACTGAAACACACTCAGTTTGCTCGTTTAATTTTTAAAGCAACAAATGAAGAAGAACATTAGTTTTTAGCCTCTTTAAGTATTTTAGACATACAAAAATACTCCTAAATGAGGCACAATATTTATGTACAGTATCACAATAAATAAGGTCACTGTGTGTGTTAAAATTGCACATGTATTTCACAACTGATTACCCCCTGTGATATATCGATGTTATAGTAGCATCCATGCAACATTATTAAGTAAATATAAAGGTCTGTTTTCATCAGTAAATGTTTCTGATATTTTAGGTGCCGGAACTGATGCCAATGTGTTTTTGATCGTGTTTGGGGAGTACGGGGACACTGGGACACTGCCTCTGAAGGAGAGCACCAACAGGAACAAGTTTGAGCGTAAAATGAAAGATGTGTTCAGATTCTCTGACATGCTCAGTCTTGGCGAACTGTCCAAGGTCCGAGTTTGGCATGATAACAAAGGTGAGGAGGAAAGGAGCGCTGGGTGTCAGAACAGCATAACAGACTAGACAACTAGAGGGATATTTGTTCTGTTTATTTCAGTAGATTTAAGGGTGGTTTTACACGTCTGAGAGCATCTAGTCAAACAAGAAGAGACATGAGGGAAAAACATTTTGCTGCTGCTTTTGTCTTAACATTGTTCTGTTGAATCTGAGAAAATGTCATGGTTTACTTGTTTTTTTAGAGGAAAGTTAAGGTTACTTGTACTACCTGAAATTTGGTTTAAATACCAGAATCTACAATGTTTGAGTACAATTTTCGAACATAAAGACTATTTTTGATATTTTGTGAAATACACTTATTTGCTTCTTTGCTTAGAGTTACTGACACACAACTACTTCCATGTCTGTACACTAAATATGAAGCTGGTTGGCTTAGTTTGTCTTAACTGTTGATTAGTGAGCTTTAGAGGTGCTGATGAGCAGATTTTGTTCCCTCTGAGTCTGGACAGAGCCAGACTAGCGGTTTTCCCCTGTTTACAGTGTTCATGTTGAGCTAATATAACCGGCTGCTGGCTGTAACACCATTACGACCCAAGAGTTGTATTGATCCTCTCATCTAATTCTCTGCAAAAAAGCAAATAAGTGTATTTCACAAAATATCAAACTATTACTTCAAGATGTTCCTCCCTTTGTACTGAAAATCCTACTGAAAGGATCAAATCCTAATGGACTTTGATGTTGTTGCTGTAAACAGGCCCCGCTCCTGGTTGGCACCTGGAGTACATTGACGTGAAGGATGAGACCATGGACCAGACCTTTAGGTTCCCCTGTGACCGCTGGTTGGCTAAAAATGAAGATGACGGGCAGATAATCAGGGAGCTGGCCTGTGCCAACAACGACTCTGTAGACCTCAGTGACAAAACCAGTTAGTAAAAAGTCTGTGGGCATAATTACAAGCCCTCTAATTGTCGGAGATTAAATACTTGCAGTTAATTGCAACCATTTTCCAGATGTGAAATGATTATAGTGTGATAATCTCTGTCTCTCTGCATTGCCACAGAATATGAATTTGCCATAACAACTGCTAACACAGACGATGCCTCCACCACGGAAAATGTCTGGATCTTGTTAGAAGGAAGGAAAGCCCGCTCCAAGGAGTTTGTTATGGAGAATAAGAAAAAGAAGTTCTTATGGTAGGTCTTCAAAGAGAGTCTAGGTGCCTCGGCTCACAGTAAAACCCTATTATGTGGCCTTACATAATCTCTTCTCTTTCACATGTTTTGTTTTTCTACACTTCTTTATCTCTTAGCTTCACTTTCTGTTCTCCAAGTCTGTGCTCTCTCAGGAGAGCTAATCCCATGAGAGGCACCGAAAGAAAAACTCTCTGGCAGACCAGTGAATTAATTTAACAGTTTACTGTTTAGAATCAAACCCAGTTATAACGTGTTTTTTTTTCCCGTCACAGCGGTGCCACCGACACGTTTGAGTTCTCCTCCAAACACGTGGGAGAAATCGCCAGCATCTGCATCGGTCACATAACAAAAGACGGAAAGAAGGTGAAGAATGAAGCTTTCTGGCACGTTTTGGAGGTGGTGGTGACAGAAAAGGAACTGGGAAACAAGTGAGTGGAATCTTGTACATCCTACATTATGTTATATAAAAATGTCACGTTGATGGTGTTGATGTGACTCCAACCATTCCCTCCTGTTTAGGTATTTTTTCAACTGTGATACACAAATCCCCCTGGCAGCCAAGAAGGACCAATTCCTGACATTTGAGTGCTTCAAGTCCATCGAGAGCTTCGCGAGCAAAGTCCGCAAACTGGTCCCTGTCAAGTATGAAATCATTGTCATCACCGGGGATGTAAAAGGGGCTGGCACAGACGCCAACGTTTTCATCACCATCTATGGCGCCAACGGTGACTCTGGCAGGCGTCATCTCCGGCAGAAATTCCGCAACCTTTTTGAGCGAGGCCGAACAGACCGCTTTGTTCTGGAGATGCTGGACCTCGGGGAGCTGCTGAGGGTCAAAGTGGAGCACGACAACGATGGCTCCAGCTGTGGGTGGTATTTAGAGTGCGTTGAGGTGACAAACACAGCCAACTCAGTGACCACCATCTTCCAGTGTGGAAAGTGGCTGGACACTTGTAAGGCTGACGGGCAGATTCAGCGAGTGCTCTACCCCAGATATTAAGGAGGAGGATGCATGAAACAAAGAGCGGGTGAGCATTCCTTTAGAGGCTTTTTCATTGCTTGTGGGTGTTTTTTTACTGTATTTTAGACAAGCTTTGTGAGTAAATAGATTGAAACAAACAGATCTGACCTTATGTACTTTTTAAAGGATAACACATGTTCTTTTTTTAAGTTTGTGCCAACTGTTTAGGTTGTCCCTCTTGTTACAACAGAAAAAGCCATTTGCTATCATCTTTTCTTGTAAAAATTTGAAAAATAAACTTACAACAGATCCAAAAAGCACATAATCCAACACAATAAACATGGTCTTGATTTGTTCTTTCTTTGTTGACCTTTTTTGAGGTTAAGCATTTTCGTACCAGTTCACATATCATGTTACACTCATCTAATTGTCAGTCACTTGATACTTACAGGTGGAAAAGAAGGACAGGAAATAGTCCCACAATCATATCGCCTGCTTTGAATTAGATCATTCAGGTTATGTGTTCACACTGGAAAGGTGACAAAATAAACTATACTCAGAGTATAAAATTTTTGAGTTTGCTGTTCATGGTCATTGTTCTGCCACAATGCAATGCACAAGGGACTAACTGCGGATCGAGGTGAAACAGCTCCAGTAAACAAAAAATAACAATTACATCATAAAGTACATTCTATATGAAGTTATTATGTAGTAGGGAATTGGAACACAGTTCACAGTATCATATCTCATCCATGTGTTTTTACTTTTATGTTAGTTTGCTGTGACTGCAGTTTATATTAATTTACATTTGAACTGTAAATATATATATATTTTTACAAAAAAAGAGACATCTAACTAAAAGCACTAGTAAATGGGCTTGAGACCAGTATTCTCCCTGATGAGTCTTTTTAACAATTTTGACAAAATTCACACATTATCTGAACATTGAACTGGGACAAAGAATATTCTTATTTTATATTGTTTTAGGTTAAAAATGGTCAGCCTATTAAGGATTGATTTAATAATAAAATGTAATATTTTGAAAATATAAAAATATTCATTCATTTTTCAGAAAATTAAGTTAAAGCCAACAGATAAAGGATGTTTGAGGCTGTACAATTATAATGGCCAATATTAATTTTTTATCATTAACATATCAACCAAGATATGCACTGAGCAGGACAAGGATACCGTTTCTAGTTGGCTTCATTGTCCTGCAGTTTCTTGTTAATAAAACAAACTGTTGATTATAAATGTAGCTTCAGCAGAGTATTTTTAAACTTGGTGATAACAGGATGCAAAATAACCCCACAAATTAGATTCGTTGTCAGCATTTTAGGCAGTTTATTTGAAAAACACATACAAAAAGATCATATACAAGACAATAAATAAAAAAGAGACAGAACAGTTTGGGTTAAGCTATGCAACTTTTTGCATCATCATTAGTAATAAATACAGTACAAAATCCACCCAGAGTGAATCTAAAGATTTTCCACAATATTCACTGATCATGTTATTCTTCATTATGATTTAGCTATTGCTTTCATATTATTGATACATACTTCTACTTTTCTATAAAATACTCAAGATCATAAAACATTGCGCGGTTACAGCAAAACAGCAGTGTGTTGTACAAAGATGGCCACTTCCCTTTTTCACTGGCAGGTTAATAATCAACATTTTTTCAGCAGCAAAGAAACATCTGAAATATTCAAGAAGGTACAGCATCATATTAAACACATCTACAGAGCTACTCCCACATACACATAGGAAAACCTGAGAAGGACATGCATTAAAAAGCTTGTGCTTTAAGTTCTACTGTTCATTCCGGTTCATCAGCTTGAGTTAATACTATGGCTACTGTCCAGTTCGCTCTGGAGTAATGGGGTACACTGTGGAGGACATGGGGTAAGGCCAGTGAGAGCACGAAATGAAATAATAATAGTAAGACCAGCCAGCGTCATTCCAATCCAATATATGTTATAATAATTTGCAGGATTAGTAGAGTATTAATAAGAAATGCACACCGAAAACGTAGTTAGCTTATTATACCCAGGTGTAAAACACGCTATCTATATTGTATAACCACAGTACACCAGAAATTTGCTCAATAAGACCAATGGCTCAAGTTAGCATGTTAGATACTTCCCAAAATCCCACACAAAGCAATTGCCAGCGATACATAAGAACAAATAATACAGCTCATTATGTGGGTCTTAAAGTAAGCACTAAATTGAGATCCAGATATGTTGAAATATCATGAACATGGTCAAAATAAAACAAAACAATATCAAAAATTAAATTAAATATGACTGATTATGGGAAACAAAGCAGTATCATATAACAAAAGCAAGCTAATTGTGGAGCCATACTAAGACAAAAGGAGTTTGTACCCCGTCATCTGCTTTCGATCAAAGCAGGGATGATGTTGAAAACACAAAACAATTTTAAAGTGAAATCAAGAGGTGACATGAATGGAATGTAATCCAGATCAACAGCACCATGCTGGCTAGAAAATGTGTTGGGAAACACCCCCTAAGTCAATTTTTCAACAAGTTTCTTTTTTTCTCCTTTGAAAAAGAAAACACAGACGGCATGCAAAAGCATCCCCACCGACCAATGCATAATGAGGTATTCTTTTTTTAATATTTTGTGTTATTTTAAATAAATATATTGATTAAATTGCAAAGTTATGAGATAGAGACATTAAATATTCCACCACGATAGCTAGCTAGCTACAGTTAGTAATAAATAATGATTGTTAAATACTTAAGGCATCTTTAATCACAGCATTCTATGTGAACTAGCAAACCTCCATTTTCATCCATCTGTAGTTTTTTGGATGGAGGTTTCATACAAAAGAAAAAAAAAAACGCAACACAAACAGTCAAGTTACCCTCCAATAATACACAAGGAAGCATGAAAATACTTTTAACTGAATAGAAACACAAAATCTAGGACAAGAAGAACCCACACCACCAAACCAAAAATCAGGCAACTCCATATTATAGTGCATTTACAAAACACAAGCTACATTATAACAATAACAATAAATATGTTTTTGCAGCATTGCAGCTTTTTCTTCACTATGGTTAAAATGGACAAGGACTCGGCATATTAGTACCATGTCCAGATTGGCATGTGAGCAAAAAAAAAATTACAAGTAAAAGGAAAAGAAAAGAAATGAAAGAAAGAAAAAAACAATCGAAATAAAAGTAATGATTACAACAATTGTTTGGTATTTTTCAAATGGATGGCTTTTTCTCCCTTTCACCCTCCTTCAAGTGAACTACGCCGACATGGTTCATGCATGATATAGAGAAAACGGCTTCTATCACTGAACGTATCACAGTTGTTCTAGCAATACCATACACTACTACCATGGGGGAGGGGGGTGGGGGACAATCATACACATTCTAGCACATATCACAGGCAAACTAGATTTGTATTTTCCCTGTAACACCAGACACAGTCTTTTTATCAAACAGTGGGAGCAACTTAGATTGAAATGAAAAGGAGCCGATACACAACAGAGGCGATTCACTGTATATAGAAATCACATGTGCTTGTTCGATAGGCAATAAGGTTCTGGTAATAGGTAATAGAAATGTCCGATTTTATTCACTCTGATGGCAAGACTCAGGCACTGCAAGCCCATGCCGGCCTCTAATGTCATGATCATGCCATGAGCGAGGCAACAGAGAGGAGTTGCAGTTAGACACGGATCTGCTAGCAGCTCTTTGAATCCTAACCTCGAACATCAGGAGAGAAATGCTACAATGGTCCGAGATCGGTGTCTAAGGGCAACTTTGGTCTACTCGGGATGAGTGGGGAGGGGGTGTGGGGAGGTGGGAAGAAGGGGTAATAGGTGCATTCTTGTCCTCCTCTATGAATGAGTGGGATCGTCATAGTATACGGTTCACATGCACAGACACAGTCCCTGTTTCTACTGCTCCACAATATTAACGACACAGCCCAAGCCTGCCATACAGCATGCACATCTGAGGCCTCTGCTCTAGATTATAGAGGCCCGACTACGACACTACACAGATCACTGGAAGCCATGCCTGCAGTTAGCGGGTTTAGCATCAACTCTGATGGCATCTACTAACTGTAAATCCAAAAACCATGTTAGACAAGACAGAGGGATTTTTGGCCTTTGTACACAACTAGCTCTTTCCTCATTGCCTATGATTTAACACACTGAATATTCTCTCCGTTAGAGCTGTGGTCACCCTCTCTGTAGGTTTATTTTTCACAAACATATTTCTCAAAAGGCTTTTGCTTGCTACACAACACTGTTACTCTGTAAATACTTTTTCAGTACTATACTCCATTACACCACAAGCGTTCAGCTACAAGAGTTCACACCAAACAACCTCATGCTAATCATTTGATAATGTTCTGTACAGATGTGCTGAGGGCTTGGGCAGAGTGCAGCTTAAAGGATTTTTCACAGGCCTGGGGGAGAGGGGGTTTAGATATAGTGGCAGAGAAATGGCCTTAATACACCACACTGAGCTGGGGGAGGTTGGTAGTCAGAGTGTCCTCTCTTGGTGGCTGTATGGAGAAATGTACACAGGGTACACAATCTGACAGAATTGTGTGAAGCCTCAGCACATCTGTCCATACATGTCCGCTCCTACCTTTTACATCCAGCAAAGTCCATTCAACCAACCTTCAGTCCAGCCACCTATCAATGCATCAACCCCCATCCCTCGTTGTGTTGTAGGTGAGTGTGCTTTGTTGATCCCTCTGTCACAGCTGTCTCAGAAGGCAGGCTCGTTGAGTGATGCAGAGGGGGGAAGAGGGGGTGTTTGGCAGAGCTTCCCCCAGAGGGAGGCAATGGAGAATTTAACAAGACCAGATCCAAAGCTGCAGGAGTCGACAGGAGCTATCAACTGTCAGGGGTCAGCTGGGTCTCAATGTCCACTCTACAGATGGGGCATTTCCTGCTGGTGGCCAGCCACTGGTCCACACACGCCTGGTGGAAGAGGTGCATGCAGGGTAATCTCCTACAGACACAAAACAGACAAGGTCAGGATTTAAAAATAAATGTAGGACTTAACTACAAGAAAATGTCCAGCAGTATTTATTCAATTGAATTCGGTTTTATTTGTATAGCGCCAAATCATAACAGAAGTAATTCCTGGACACTTTTAAAATTCTTCACAAAGACCCAACAATTCCTGCTTCCCGCTTTTTAATCAAAGCCATTTACAGTTTTGTAACAATCAGGCACAAGAAATTACTGAATGTCTCTTCGTCTTGGAAATCATAATGGGCATTTTTCTTCAAAATTTCTTAAATGTTAAAAACAAAACAATCAATTGAGGACATGATTAATCACCTTAATCCATAATTAATGATTAATCGGATGAATCCATAATAAAAATAATAATTTGTTGCACCCCTAGCCTGCTTTATGAAAAGAATGATTTATAAAGCTGTGTGTCAACCGGTTTCTGCTTTGTAACTCATTGTGGGGCACACAAGCCTCATTTCCACTCCCACAGTGAGCCATAAATGGATGTAAAAACACCCTTAAACATCTGTTTGCACACCGATATTTGTGTTCACTAATTCGACCTGTCAATGAGAAGAAGAAGTACAATTTCACCGATTGTGTTGCATCGGCGAAGGTTCTCTAGCCGCACTAGAACAGCTGTCATTACACATAGTTTTAGCTATTTATAGCACCACTTTATAGCCATCATCTCGGTGATATCTCAATCATCATTATTAAACGTCAAAAGGATAAAATAGACTTTACAAACTACTTCACAATTCAGGATAAAATAAAAAGGCTCAAACGCAATTAAAAAGAATGATAAAATTCATCATCCTTATTTATCGTTTATGATCATCATCCCTGGCAAC